TACTAAAGAATGAATGGGTCAACTAGGAAATTAAAGAATTTTAAAAATACATGGAAGCTTGGGATGCCTGGGTGGCTCAGTTGGTTAAGCGGCTGCCTTCGGCTCAGGTCATGATCCCAGGGTCCTGGTATCAAGCTCCACATTGGACTCCTTGCTCAGCAGGGAGCCTGCTTCTCCCTCTCCCTTGCCTGCTGCTCCCCCTGCTTGTGTTCTCTCTCTGTCAAATAAATAAATACAATCTTTTTTAAAAATTAAAAAAATAAAAATACATGGAAGCAAATGAAAATGAAAACACAACTGTTCAAAACCTTTGGGATGCAGCAAAGGCAGTCCTAAGAGGGAAGTATATAGCAAGACAGGCCTTCCTCAAGAAACAAGAAAAGTCTCAAATACACAACCTAAATTACCCCTAAAGGAGCTGGAGAAAGAACAGCAAATAAAGCCTAAATCCAGCAGGAGAAGAAAAATGATAAAGATTAGAGCAGAAACCAATGATATAGAAATAAAAAGAACAGTAGAACAGATCAATGAAACTAGGAGTTGGTTCTTTGAAATAATTAATAAGATTAATAAACCCCTTGTCAGATTTATCAAAAAGAACAAAGAAAGGACCCAAATAAATAAAATCATGAATGAAAGAGGAGAGATCACAACCTACACTGAAGATATACAAACAATTATAAGAACATATTATGAGCAACTATCTGCCAATCTGGAAGAATGGATAAATCCCTAGAAACATATAAACTACCAAAACTGAAACAGGAGGAAGTAAAAAAGCTGAACAGACCCATAACCAGCAAAGAAATTGAATCAGTAATCAAAAATCTCTCAACAAACAAGAGTCCAGGGCCAGATTCCCAGGGCTTCCCAGAGGAATTCTACCAAACATTTAAAGAAGAATTAATACCTATTCTTCTGAAACTGTTCCAGAAAATAGAAATGGAAAGAAAACTTCCAAACTCATTCTGTGAGGCCAGCATTATCTTGATCCCAAAACCAGAAAAAGACCCCACTAAAAAGGAGAATTACAGACCAATATCCCTGATAAACATGGATGCAAAAAGTCTTACCAAGATACTAGTTAAGAGGACCCAACAGTACATTAAAAGGATTATTCACCATGACCAAGCAGGATTTATTCCTGGGCTACAGGGGTGGTTCAACATTTGCAAATCAATCAGTGTGAAACGCCACATTAATAAAAGGAAGGACAAGAGCCATATAATCCTCTCAATAGATGCAGAAAATGCATTTGACAAAATAAACATCCTTTCTTGATAAAAACTCTCCATTGTGCAGAAGTAGAGGGAACATACTTCAATATCATAAAAGCCATATATGAAAGACCCACAGAATTTCATCCTTAATGGGGGAAAACTGAGACCTTTTCCCCCAAGATCAGGAACACAACAGGGATGTTCACTCTCCCCACTGTATTTCAACAAATACTGGAAATCCTAGCCTCAGCAATCAGACAACCAAAAGAAATAAAAGACATCCAAATAGGCAAAGAAGAGGTCAATTTTTCATGCTTTGCAGATGACATGATACTCTATGTAGAAAACCCAAAAGACGCCACCAAAAATTTGCTAGAACTGATACAGGAATTCGGCAAAGTCACAGGATATAAAATCAATGCACAGAAGTCAGTTGCATTTCTATACGCTAACAATGAGACAGAAGAAAGAGAAATCAAGGGATCAACCCCATTTACAATTGCACCAAAAACCATACGATACCTAGGAATAAACCTAACCAAAGAGGTAAAGGATTTGTACTCTGAAAACTATAGAACGCTTAAGAAAGAAATTAAGGAAGACACAAAGAAATGGAAAAACTCATGGATAGGAAGAACAAATATTGTTAAAATGTCTATGCTACCCAAAGCAATCTATATTCAGTGCAATCCCTGTCAAAATACCATCCGCATTTTTCACAGAGCTGGAACAAACAATCCTAAAATTTGTTTGGAACCAGAAAAGACCCTGAATAGCCAAAGGATTGTTGAAAAGGAAAACCGGACGCCTGGGTGGCTCAGTTGGTTAGGTGACTGCCTTCGGCTCAGGTCATGATCCTGGAGTCCCGGGATCGAGTCCCGCATCGGGCTCCCTGCTCGGCGGGGAGTCTGCTTCTCCCTCTGACCCTCTTCCCTCTCATGCTCTCTGTCTCTCATTCTCTCTGTCTCAAATAAATAAATAAAATCTTTTAAAAAAAAAAAAAAAAAAGAAAGAAAAGGAAAACCAAACCTGGAGACATCACAATTCCAGACATCAAGGTCTATTACAAAGCTGTCATCATCAAGACAGTATGGTACTGGCACAAAAACAGACACATAGATCAATGGAACAGAATAGAGAACCCAGAAATGGACCCTCAACTCTATGGTCAACTCATCTTCGACAAAGCAGTAAAGAATATCCAATGGAGGGCGCCTGGGTGGCTCAGTTGTTAAGCGTCTGCCTTCGGCTCAGGTCATGGTCCCAGGGTCCTGGGATCGAGTCCCACATCGGGCTCCCTGCTCTGCGGGAAGCCTGCTTCTCCCTCTCCCACTCCCCCTGCTTGTGTTCCTGCTCTCGCTATGTCTCTCTCTGTCAAACAAATAAACAAAAATCTTTAAAAAAAAAAAGAACATATTTAAAAAAAAAAAAAAGAATATCCAATGGAAAAAAGATAATCTCTTCAACAAATGGTGTTGGGGAAAATGGGACAGCCACATGCAGAAGAATGAAACTGGATCTTTTCCTTACACCACACACAAAAACAGACTCAAAATGGTTGATCAGCCCTAAATGTGAGACGGGAAACCATCAAATCCTGTTGGAAAACACAGGCAGCAACTTCTGTGACCTCGGCCACTTCAACTCCTTGATTCCTTGATAGACACATCTCCAAAGGCAAGGGGAAAAAAGCAAAAAGGAACTATTGGAACTTCATCAGGATAAAAAACTTTTTGCTGCACAGTCAACAAAACTAAAGGCAGCCTGTAAGATGGGAGAAGATATTTGTAAATGACTTGTCAGATAAAGGGCTAGTATCCAAATCTATAAAGAACTTATCAAACTCAACACCCAAAAAACAAAAAAATCCAGTTAAGAAATGGGCAGAAGACATGAACAGACATTTCTCCAAAGAAGACAATAGAAACACGAAAAAATGGGGCACCTGGGTGGCTCAGTTGTTAAGCATCTGCCTTCGGCTCAGGTCATGATCCCGATGTCCTGGGATTGAGTCCTGCATCAGTCTCCCTGCTCAGCAGGAAGCCTGCTTCTCCCTCTCCCACTCTGCCTGCTTGTGTTCCCTCTCTTGCTGTGTCTCTCTCTCTGTCAAATAAATAAATAAATAATCTAAAAAAAAAGAAACATGAAAAAATGCTCAACATCATTCGGCATCAGGGAAATACAAATCAAAACCACGATGAGATACAACCTCACACTGGTCAGAATGGCTAAAATTAATAACTCAGCAAACAAAGAATATTGGCGAGGATGTGGAGAAAGGGGAACCCTCTCACACTGTTGGTAGGAATGCAAGCTGGTGCATCCACTCTGGAAAACAGTATGGAGCTTCCTCAAAAAGTTAAAAGTAAACTAACCTCTGACCCAGGAATTGCACTACTAGGTATTTATCCAAAGGATATAAATATCAGGACCCAAAGGGGCACCTGCACCCCAATGTTTATAGCAGCAATGTCCACAATAGCCAAACTATGGAAAGAGCCCAGATGTCCATTGACAGATGAGTGGATAAAGAAGCTGTGGTATATGCATATAATGGAATATTACACAGCCATCAAAAAAATGAAATCTTGCCATTTGCAATGATGGGGATGGAACTAGAGGGCATTAGGCCAAGTGAAATAAGTCATTATGTGGAATTTAAGAAACAAAACAGAGGATTATAGGGGAAGAGAGGAAAAAATAAGACAAGATGAAACCAGAGAGGGAGACAAACCATAAGAGACTCTCAGTCATAGGAAACAAACAGAGTTGCTGGAGGGGAGGGTGGGGTGGAGGGATGGGGTAACTGGGTGATGGACATTAAGGAGTGCATGTGATGTAATGAGCACTGGGTATTATATAAAACTGATGAATCATAGGCCTGTACCTCTGAAACCAATCATACATTATATGTTAAATGTATTTAAATTTAAAAATGTTTTAAAAAATAAAAATATAAAATATAAATACACACAAAAAATATTTTTCATAACACAATAATGGGCTCACTATTTGTAACAGTTCATAACACCTATGTGCTTTGATGTGATGGTTTTGTCATGTGTTATAGTTATCAGGCTCACTACTACTAAACTTCAGGTCCCTTGAAGTCAGGGGCTATGTCTTACTCATCTTTTTAATCCCCCCACAAGATCAAACACACTAGCCTTTGTACAATAGATGCCTAATAATGATTTATTGGTTTAAATTTCATTAAGCAAGTTTAGGAAAAGCTGCCTTGGCAAGACCCTCAGATACCTTAAAATAAGGTGCTGGGATTGACTAATTGGAGAGGGCTGGGGTTGTGTGTTTAGCAGTAATGTTGGTACAGCCATCCTGTTGTCTGTGGAGACATAATCTAGGATTACTAAGAGACATTCATGATACAAAACTCCTCAAAAGTTTCTTGTCCTGGGGCGCCTGGGTGGCTCAGTTGTTAAGTGTCTGCCAAGCCCTGCATTGGGCTCCCTGCTCAGCGGGAAGCCTGCTTCTCCCTCTCCCGCTCCCCCTGCTTGTGTTCCTTCTCTCGCTGTGGCTCTCTCTGTCAAATAAATAAATAAAATACTTAAAAAAAAAGTTTCTTGCCCTTTTGCCTCCAGAAAGCTTTAATGCTTGAGGATTTCCATTTTTATTGTCTTGATTCTTTGAAAATCCCATTTGTAGACATAATACTCCTCAATGAGAAAGTGTGAAGATCTAGTGAAGTCTTCACTAGCAGCCAGCATCCCAGGCTGATCTATAGAGGGTTATCCTTCTCATCATTTCTCTCCTCTTTTCCAGAACAAGTGAGATATCTGCAAGCCAACAGCAGAGAACTCAACTCTACATTTGGGTATCCTGTGAGTATTAGGCCTCTAGTTACTTCAGAAAGAGGCTATTATTCTCCTCTAATAGTCCCCTTTGTTAGGGGGGCAGGAATTCATTGTAGATGTAGATCCTACAACATAGGTTCTATTTTCTTTCAAGCTCCTATACAATGAGGGCTGGTATAGTGAGGGCTCAGAAACCAAAATTAATTCTAGTGACCTAGGCTCAGGAGAGAATATATCTCAGATTTTGGGTTTCATATATAACTTCTGGAAAAGAGATACTGTAGCTTTTTCTTGCACAAATGAAGTCATAGTCCAACAATTATTTTTCCACTTCGACATCTGTGGCAATACATACAGCCCTAACAGTGGCACAGTTTTCCACTGTTTTCAATATACCTTCATTTATTTTACTATTCTCCTATTGATGAACATTTAAATTGTGTCCATTCAGGGGCGCCTGGGTGGCTCAGTCAGTTAAGTGTCCGACTTTTGGTTTTGGCTCAGGTCATGATCTTGGTGTCATGAGGTTGATTTCCACATCTGGGCAGAGTCTGCTTGAGATTTTCTCTCTCCTTCCCTCTCTGCCCCTCCCCTGGCTCACACACACACACACACACACTGTCTCTCTAAAATAAATAAATAAACCTTAATAAAAAATAAAATGCTTCCATTCATATCCAGGTGCCCCCTCCAAGAAAACAAATAGTCTCCAGTGTTTTGCTATGATAAATGGTTCTGAATGAACACCATTAATCATAAATTTTAATCAGATTTGTGTGAATATATCTTTTTTTAAAAGATATTTTTATTTTAGAGAGAGAAAGAGTGCAAGAGTGGGAGGAGGGGATGGGGCGGGGGTCGAAGCAGACTCCTTGCTGGGCAGGGAACCCAACACAGGGTTCTATCTCAGGACCCTGAGATCATGACCTGAGCAGAAATCAAGAGCCGGACGCTTAACCGACTGAGCTACCAAGGTGCCCCTTGTGTGAATATATCTTACGAGAATTTCCTAGAAGTGAATTGGTTGGGTCAAAGGGAAAACACATTAAAAATTGTGATGCATATTGCCAGACTTCCGTCTAAAAAGATTATATCCATTTATATTTCTACCTACAGTAGAGACTGCTATTTTTTCCATATTGCTGCCAGACTAGGTATTATCAATCTTTTTCCTCTTTGCCAGGCTCTTGAATGAAAAATGGTATTTTGTTATCTATCTTTCCTTAATTTCAAGTGAGTTCAATAATCTTTTCATGTTAATTAACCTTTTGTATTTCTTTTTATGGAAAATACCTCTTTGCCCCATTTTCTATTAGATTGTTCATTTTTCACTTATTTATTAATAACTCATAAAAGATATATATTTAAAATTCATACTCCAGCACCCATCCTTGCCAACCTCTGCTCCCTATAGGGAATTACTCTTGTTACTTTCTTGTATATTCATCAGTGCTTCTTTGTGTAAATAAAGCAAAGCCACTTTCTTAAACTGTTCTGAACTTTAAAAATATGTCCTGGAGATGTTTTCATAATAGCTTTTTCCTTCTTTTATTTTTTTACCTGCATAGTATTTCCTATGTATATTTAGCATAATTTATGTAACCAGTTTCTTAAAATTGACATTTGGGTTGTTTCCAATCACTTATAGTTACAAGCAATGTTTTTATACATGTTATTTTGTGTATGTGCAGCTGTATCTATCTATCTATCTATCTATCTATCTATCTATCTATCATCTATCCATCTATCTATCTATCTATAGCTATAGGCATATAAATACATATATAGCCATATATATTTGTAGTCTCTGTAGGACATTAGTTTATGATTTCTGAGTTAGAGAGGTTCTGGACAGTAACAGTGTTCAGGGTGTGGCCATGCAAGCAGATTTTCTTCCCCCTTTCTATCTTCTAGACATGTATGAGAGGCACTATAATGCAATAAAACTAGGTTTTGACATCAAACAGACCTGAGTTTGAGCACAGCTCTACTCCTTACTAACTTTGCATCTTTAGGCATGTTTTTTAACCTCTCTGATCTTTAGTTTCCTCATCTATAAAAAGGGCCTAACTCACCTTACATGGTGGTTTTGGGAGTTAGGTATAGTTGTGAATAATATTAGCTCTCTTTCTGCAAGAAACCATTGCCTCTTGAAGAAAGAGTACAAGTCTCTTTCATCTCTGTATCCACAGTTTATATCACAATATTTGGCACATAAACTGCATCTGATAAATATATGCTGAATAAATACCTTTTCTTATGTATCTAACAACTATTTCATTTCCATGGCCCATGGCTGATTTTTCTCCTATTCTCTACTCTTTTCCAGTCCTACTCCTTTTCTTCTTCCCAACCTCTAACTTCTGAATCCCATTATGGCCTTGGCCTTATGTTCTCCTCTATTCCTTCATTTAGCCAACAGTCAGGTTTCACTACCTAAATAAATAAACAGCCCAAACCAAAATCCATCACTTCTAGCACGCTTAAATTTTATCACCTCTGCCAAAAAAGAACTAAACACTGAAGAAATTCATAGTTAAGCAGATGTTCTACATTCTTTAGATATTGCTTCTGGTTTGACGTTTAAGAGTAGAACAGGGAGCGCCTGGGTGGCTCAGTTGGTTGGGCGACTGCCTTCGGCCCAGGTCATGATCCTGGAGTCCTGGGATCGAGCCCTGCATCGGGCTCCTTGCTCAGCGGGGAGTCTGCTTCTCCCTCTGACCCTCCTCCCTCTCATGTTCTCTCTATCTCATTCTCTCTCTCAAATAAATAAAATCTTTAAAAAAAAAAAAAAGAGTAGAACAGAACACTCTGGTTGCCAAGTTAGTAAAGAAGTACTGATATTTCTGTCCTGATTTTATAACTAATTATCATATTTCAGGTTTCTACCCACTTGTTTAGTCTTTGTTTGCTAAATAAATGCTAACAAGTGGGTAGAAACCTGAAATATGATAATTAGTTATGAAATCAAATGGAAAATCAGTAGTGAAGGCCTGCTGCTTCAGTAAGGCTAAAGATCAGAAAAGGTCTTTGGTTCCAAGTTTCAGAACCATCTGGACTTAGACACTGAGAAATTCAGAGTATCTCATGATCAAAGAAAGCTATTTCTATGTTAGAATAACATTTTCTCAGGGTTAGAAGGGCCAATAGTGATCATTTAGTTAGAACTTCATTCAAGACAGACCTATGAGCTTCTCTGGGATAGATCTTGTTTAATTTTTTTCAGCCTACTAGTATAGCCCAGAACAGGGCTATGAACAGAGCAAGCTTTGAGAAATCTATAGTGTTTGATTGATTATTAACTAGAAAATCATAGAGAAAACACCCAGGAAATCTTAGTTGTAGCTTAGATCTCTAAACTCCTAAGCTCTATGACCAGCTTCTCTTCCCTAGGGAAATAGACAAGCATGTCTTGACTGAAGAGCCTATCTAGCCCTCCTGGGCAAGTTTTAGCCTTAGGACTGAATGGTTTTGGTTTTCCAAGAGAAGGTCTCTGATGCTTTCCCAAGGCAGAGTCCGGCAAGATTCTTCAACTTGAGCAATATCTATACTCCAGGACTGCATGTGGGTCTTTTCTCTTGTTTTGGCCTTCTACATGGAGAAGGTAGGGCAGAAGCCCTGTCCTGAGGAAATTGTTTGGTTTAAATTGTTATTCTTTTGCTTTTCTTGAGATCTTATATTCAAGCTCTGACATCTTAAGTCAAATGATTGAAGACCCCAAGGTAGAAAGTAAGATGATCCTGTCAGCATCTTGAGATCAGGATTGAAGAGTTAGCAAGTTCCTGTTTTCACTCAGCAAAATCATAGCTCAGATGTAAACCAAAACTATTCAGACTCTCTCAAGACAATTAAAAGGCAAGTGACTTCCCAATGCTGACAGGGACCAGTGTAGGAACCTTCAGTGGGCTAGGGTTGAAAGAGTAATTTGCTTTTGGCATCTGACATCCTTCAGCATTAAAAGCAGTATATAGGGGCGCCTGGGTGGCTCAGCTGGTTAAGCCTCTGCCTTCTGCTCAGTCGTGATCCCAGGGTCCTGGGATCGAGTCCCACATCTGGCTCCCTGCTCAGCGGAGAGCCTGCTTCTCCCTCTGCCTCTGCACCTCCCCCTGCTCATGCTCTCTCTCTCTCTCTCTGTATCTCTCTGTCTCAAATGAATAAAAAAAAAAAAAAAGAAAGAAAAGAAAGCAGTATATAAAGGCACACCAAACTGAATTTGCCAGGCTTAGAATAACTTCATTTGAGAGCTCTGCAGTAGAGCTAATACAAATGGCAGACTTGCCTACTATTTAGGGCTGAGATGGACTAGTGGGTGAGAGGTAAGATGACTCTGAAGGATCTCTGATTCCATGAAAAGAAGGCACTTGGATAGCTACACAAGTGAACTGGGACTCAGGGGACAGCACAGCCCCAACTCTGAACTGACTCTGTGGTCTTCGGCAAATAACCTCAGTGCCTCAATTTCCTCATCCTCAAAAAGTGATCATATCGCCCTCTCCTCATAGGGTTATTGTGAGGAATAAATAAGCTGCTACATATAAAATGCTTAGAACAGTGCCTTGCATGTAGTAAATATTCAATAAATGTAAGCTTTTATTGTTGATTTTATTAACATTATTATTAATAGCATCAATAAACAAAGAATTCTATGCCTCAAAAAAGTCCCATATTGATCAGCCTTGCATTCTTTGCATTCTCTAGGTCTCCAAGAAAAGTGGGAGACAAAAACTTCTTCCCTCCCTCCCCCTCACCCCATGGTGGAGGAACTATGGCTTTTTCCTGTTTTGAGGAATGGTCTTGGTGCTTTTTGTTAAGACTGGGAGGTGGGTCTTTAGTTCCTCTAATTGTGCTTGTTTTCTTTTACTCACAGAACAATACCATCAAGACCTCAAGATACAGTGTCTTTAACTTCTTGCCCCTGAACCTATTTGAACAATTCCAGAGACTTGCAAATGCATATTTCCTCATTTTGCTATTCCTACAGGTATTGACTTTTGGGATCTTTTCCACAGAGCATTTTATCAATATCTCTGTGATCTGATTGTGTAATCAGTTCTTCTCCTCCCTAAACTGAGAAATGTGTCTCTAGGTAACAGGCAAATGGATGGCCTGGGGGTGTCAGGCCAGTCCTATAGAGTAGCTGTTGTCAGGATTAGGTGGGATGAAACAAATCTCTGCAAAAGGAAGGACACAAGGTCACTGAATCCCAAGGAAGGGGAGCTCCCTCATCATGTCTGCATGGCCCCAGTTCAGCTTGACCACAGGAGGTCACAGACTCTTCACCCCAACCACAACTACAACTCCATTTCTCATTCATTGTCCCAGCCTCCCTGACAGAAAGTTAACATGCAGGAATTCTGAGAAAGAGAATGGTTTAGAACATAAGAATACCAGCACAGGGCAAGGAAGCAGGGCAGGGTCAGCCCAAACTGGGGAGAGAGGGACAGATTGTTTCATTTCCCCTTATGCTGAGGGATAAGGGAGGGGATGTGGTTTTCCAATGTCCACTCTTATCTCCCAGTTCCCCCTACCGCTCACCAGAACCTTCATCATCAGAGGAGAAATAGCCCATCAAGACTATTGTAGTGGAGTTTGGGACAGATAGGTGGCAACTTACCATCTCCTATTCTTTCGTCCTTTCTTGGCAATGTTTACTTATATTAACATCTATATTTACTTATATTACTTATATTTCCAAAACAGTGGAAAGCAACTAGGATAGTTGAATTTATTATGAACCTGTAGAGGTGAAAGTTGTGGGGGGGGGTTGCTGGTAGGAAATATATTGTCTTTAAGCTTTCTGAGCCAAGTTTTTCCCTTTTCCCTCTCACAGTTGATTCCCCAGATCTCCTCCTTGGCATGGTACACAACTGTGATACCCCTGATGGTGGTGCTGTCCATAACAGCAGTGAAGGATGCCATCGATGACATGGTGAAGTGACTTCCTGGGCTCCTAGTCCTTCACTGTACCTAGACTGGTTGGGGGGCAAAAAAGACTTCCCAGAATTACCTAGTGCGAGGAAGAAGCACTGAATGGAAAGAGATGTTTCCTTTCCTTGCTTCTTTATCCATCCCAGAAGAAAATGTAATTCCCTTAACCTCAAGATTGGTGGTCTATGCATGGCCAGAAAGGGACAGTGCAAGGCCTTTCTCTGTCTTCCACTGCCACCATTTAGCCCTCTTCCAGGCTTTCTTCCAGCTCCTTTTTAATAACCCACCTCTTCCTTCACTTGGCTTTCTCACTTCTTCATTCACTTGGCTTTCTCCAAGTTTGTGCTCATCTTTCTTCCTCCATTCCCCTTCTCCCATTGTTATATTCCTGTTCCTTTCCTCCCTCTGTCCTCTCCTCCCTCTTTGTCCTGTTCTAATTTTCTCCTCCCCTTTCCAAATTCCCCTTCTCCTCTCTAGCTCTCCCTATTTTCCATTCCAACTTTCACTTCCATAAGGTATATACAGCTAGGAACCCCCTGGGTTTAGAATACCTTAGGACATAAACAGAGGCCAACTCCTTTCCTGGTCTTGGAGAGAGAAACTGGCTCGCAGTGAGTGCTGCTTGGCATCCTCTTTGCTCCTTACAGCAGGCCTGACACAGAACCGTGAGAATGAGGCCCCAGTACCAAGCCTGCTAGTGGGATTTGGGAAGTCAGACCTGTTGACCTGCCTCCAGCTTCCCTAAGAGAGTCCTTCTGATTTTGCCAGGATAGATTTTTAGACCAAAGTTTTTGAGCTTGATGTTACTCTAGCTTTTTAACTCTGCAACTCTTTTAAATCCATAATTAGCCATGTAGTGGTTGAAATTTTAGTCAAAACTCGGATGTGCAAAAATTTGACTTTATTTCTCTATAACTAAACTCAGTATGTCTCACAACTACCACCCCACCATCCCAAACCTTTTTAATGAGAGCTGAAAGCTAAATTTGCCAATTCAGGATAACCCAGTTACTTCTGGGTTAGAACTTAGTTTCTTTAGGATAAGCATGCTGACAAATTCAAGATTCTCTCTGCCCTCTTCATAGTCCTGCCTTTTTCCCAGGGAGAAATCTCAACTGGAAGTAGAAGATTCATGTGAGCATCAGGACATACCCTGTATTTGTCCCCCTTCTATTTGGTCTTTGAATAGAAGACCTCTGTTGTCTTTCCTTAATGCATCTACTGTAGAAGCTTCTGTGTGTTGACTGTGGTGGGGATAGGCTTGAGAATTCTTAACTTTTCCTGCTCCTACCAAGGTGTTCACAGGGACTCTAGTCCTGTCCATCATTTTTCATTCTCTCCTCTGTGGCTTTGACTAAGTTGTTTGTTTTCATTCCCACAGGCTTTGGCTTTTGATATTTAAAACCAAGATTTTGTCTCTTTCTTTTCTTTTGGTTCTTTTTCTGACCTCTTTTCCCAGCTTCTCTGAGACAATCAGCCTCTTACCCTGGTTTTAATGGTAGTTAGGCTTGGGAGGTAAAGGAAAATTATAAATAAGGAGAACCACATTGGGTAGTATTTCAGAATACTAACCTTCTACATGCAATTTGCTCTATGCCTATTTCCTGAACATTTTCTTGTGTAATTTTAGAAAAGACACCAAAATGACAATCAAGTCAACAACCGTTGTGTTCTGGTGGTGATGAATGGCAGGTAAGTCATAAGGAAACCAGTTTAGGTAGGACCAACTCTGGGAGAGGGTTGTCTTTGCTAAAGCTTGATGGTGTTGGGTACTTTGGAAAGGTAGGACAGTGAAAAGAACCTAAGGTTGAACATAAGAATTTGTTTCTAGATCTAGCATACCCTGAATTTGCTGTGTGACCTCAGACTTCTCTGGGCCTCATATTATCTGTAAAGGAAGATAATATTCTCTACCTTGGAGGATGTTGCAAAAATGAAAATGAAATAATATATATTAAGGTAATTAACAATTTATGACATACAAGCGATTATTGTTAATGCAGTGGTCAGCATGGAGATATGTGTCTTTAGAACATCAGTGGATTCTGGCATGGCTTATTGGCCATTCTACTATAGAACCTTTGATCAGGTCATCTTTTTGTTAACAATCTAAAGAAAGTATTGGCTTAAAAAAATAATAATAAAATAAAGTATTGGTGTTGACCTATTGCTGTGGTGTTTGGTCATAGCTGTCTAAAGTGTTGTCAATGGGTCTGTGTTTATATTTGATGATGCTGTACAAAATCTGAGCAATTTACCTTTGTCAGGAATATAGGGAGGCAGATGTAATTCATATATAAAATAAAATATGGAGACTATTATACGAGATACAAAAAATTATTATAGGAATTAATAAAAATGAGGAATCATAGCTGGTTAAAGGAATCAAGGAAGACTTTCTGGAAGAGCTAATGTCTGTGCTAGGCCTTAAAAGATGGGGAAGAAAACAAAAAAAAAAGAGATGGGGAAGAAGTCAACAAATAGAGATTGTAAAACAGGAAAAATGACCAGTGTGTGCAGTAACATGATTGTTAATAAGTACAAACCTGAAGGAATTAAAAATTGAAGTCCAGTCTTTGTTCACAGTGGCCTTACAGAACCCCCAGGAGCTGTAATTTTAATCATATAATTCTTTTATGTGAAGTTCTTGGGCATCTAATCCTGTTATTTATTGTGACTGCTGATTCTTACTCGTGGTGGATTATTTCCTCAAGTGTTTTGGTCTGTTGAAGCCTCTCATAAGATACCACCAAAAAAGTCAGTTGTGATTAAAAAGAAAACTTAAAAGAAAGAAAGAAAAAAAAAGACAAAACTCAGTATATTAGAAATTTGCAAGGCTAGGGAATTACTGACCAAATGGATTTAGTCAAATGAACTCCTCAAGTAGTTTGAGCACTTAGGTTTTGAAAGGCTATTGGAAAAGAATTTGTCATAGAGTGGTTTTAGGGTGGGAGGTCAAAAATAGGGCCCTGGTTAGACTTTATAAGCCAGTGTTTAATTTAACACTCAGTGAAGCTGGTTGTTGAAATACTCTGTATTCCAGAAAGTGGCTTTCTTTTTCTAGAACACATGGTTTTGAGTAGAGCTACTATTGATAAAGTTTGCCTGTTTTGCAAGTTGTGATTTCTGTCATTTTCATTTCTCAATAATTTTGGTTACCAGCACATCATTAGTGGAATTTTCTTTATGAGAATTCTAAATGCCCTGAGTTGAAGTTGTATCCCTTTTGAGGGGTTTGTGTTTGCTTCTGCCAGGTAACTCAAGGATATCACCTACTGAGACCTATTTTGAGGAGTTATACATTTGAATCCCATACCTCACAAGGTTATAAATTCTTAAGGGAGAGTTCTTTACTGTCTAACCCCCAACCCTCCAGAGTAAGATAGACAAACTTTCTTGCCAGTGGGTTAATTTTTTTTTTTTTTTTTAGATTTTATTTATTTATTTGACAGATAGAGACACAGCAAGAGAGGGAACACAAGCAGGGGGAGTGGGAGAGGGAGAAGCAGGCTTCCCGCTGAGCAGGGAGCCCGATGTGGGGCTCGATCCTAGGACCCTGGGATCATGACCTAAGCCAAAGTCAGATGCTTAACCACTGAGACACCCAGACGCCTCCTGGTTAATTTTTTTTAGACCACCTTTTCCCTAATGGTGTTGCCCTTTCAGAGTCCTGGCTTTATGAGGGGTTCTTAGTTCCAACTCATTGCCTCTCAAGATCCTAAGGCTTCATGTCCTGTCCCTCAGTGGGCTAAATTAAAACTTAAGTCACTAATTATTAAGATTGGCAATTCCTTACTTCACTTAGAGCAAGAACAGCTTTAGAGCATACTGACTGTTCTGGATTTCAGACCTTTTTTTTTTTCCTCCTGGCTCCTTACTTCATGGTAAGCATATCTTTACTTTTGAAAGAATGTTTGCCTTAGCATATCTAGCATTTCTAAATGTTTGTAGTAGAAAAAGTACCAGTATGTTACAGAACCCCAGGAGGTACCACTCATAAAAAACAGAGAATATAATGTGAATGGTCTCCTCTGGAGTCAAAGCACTGCCTTCTCTAGCTCTTGGATCATATTTTCTAAACCAAAAGTTAGAATGCAATGCCTAGAAATTCAAAATGTGCTTATGGCATAACAGGATTGAATATTTTAAGTCAGAAGGGAATATCTTCCCCTCTCCTAAATCTGGGACACATGAGTGTTATAATGTCCAGCAAAAAATTGGTAGTAGTTTGACAGCTCCTATGTAATAAAATATAAGCTTTTAAATCTTTAGGAAAAGCCAGAATGGTGTAGCCCTTCTTGCCAAATTTACTGGTGAAAATCATGGCAGACAGAATGCGAGAGAACTAGCAAAAGTGAACATGGGATCAAAACAAAGCAAAACAGACATTCAGATATTTTTCTCCAAGTCTTATAGCTACTCCCTTTCAGTACTATAAAGCAGATTTGAAAATTAGTAACAAAATTAGTAAATGTATTGGATTTTATCTGCATTGAAATGACACTTGAAACCAAGGGAAGGAGATACAAGGATATATAAATAGTGGTTTTATAACAAAGTCTTACATTTGTATTATAACAGAGGAAAGTATTATAGCAAATTTTTTGCTATACTGCAATGTGTTATAGCAAAGAGGGATGGTGAAGTTGGTTGGGCCTCCAATCTTGGTTTGGTTCTGGTCACGGTCTCAGGGTTGTGAGAGTGCTTAAGATCTCTCTCCCTCTCCCTCTGCCCTTCTCCCCTGAAAAATAAATAAATAATCTTTGAAAAAAACAATAACAGGCAGAGAAAATTGAATTTGTAATAAGATTTAAAGAAATGTAACCCAGGCATTGGAAGGAAATTATCTAAAAGAAAGAGTGGATTTATATAAAAGAAATTTTTTTGGGGGGGGTGGATAAAAGAAATTTGGCCCTTCTGAAAGAAGCTATCTTCCCAGAAAAGGCGTGAGAAAACCCATGCCTTTGTGTGTCTGGCAAAGTGATGATGTATGTCATGCCTACAGATAACAAGGCTTCATTCAAAGGTGAAACAAGCAATGGCATCCAGGTGTGCCTTCCCTTTACCAGCTCTTTGGGTGCTTAGCATAATAGAATTGTTGCAAAGAGGTAGCTCATAATTCCAAAATGCTCGTGGCACTGTGTATATCTTGCTTAGTCCCTTATCAGAAAGGAAAGATTTATGGCCTGTATGCAATTGGGGAAATTCAGATACAAAAAAGAGAAAGGGGGCGCCTGGGTGGCTCAGATGGTTAAGCGACTGCCTTCGGCTCAGGTCATGATCCTGGAGTCCCGGGATCGAGTCCCGCATCGGGCTCCCTGCTCAGCGGGGAGCCTGCTTCTCCCTCTGACCCTCTCCCCTCTCATGCTGTTTCTCTCTCGCTCGCTCTCTAAAAAATAAATAAATAAAATCTTAAAAAAAAAAAGAGAAAGGAAGAGAATCAGTATTGTTGTAGAATCTGCTCTTACTGCAAGCTGCCTTTTGTGGGAAGTGAGGATTTGAGGGGCCAAAAATAATCCAATTTTGAGGGCACTTGATGTCATGAGCCCTGGGCATTATATGCAGCTGATGAATCACTAAACTCTACCCTGAAACTAATAATACACTGTATGTTAACTAACTTGAATTTTAAAAAAATAATAATCCAATTTTAACATAAGTAAATAAAATTGGTGCAGCCGTATGATAGAATGCATTTTTATCTATCAAAAAGAATGAGCCACATCTTCTGTAAGTGCTCTGCAAGACATGTTATTACATGAAAAATGCAAGTGTAGCAAATTATCTATCTAGTGTGTAACTTTTAAATGTATGTGTTGTTTTATTTGGATTGATATTTTCTAGAAAGAAATATAAAAAGTTATTCACAGTTGCTACCTTGAGAAGCAAAACTAAAATCTGGGAAGAGAGGAGAATTTTTCCTTTTATATACTTCTTTATTATTTGGATTATTTTTTTACCATATGCCTATATTACTTTTAGTGAAAGAATGATGTGCATGTATGACTACATATGCCTTTAAGGAGTTTTAGAAAACCCTTATAACCTTAAGTCAAGAAAAATGGGCCCCATTCTTGATTATAGCAAGCATGCATCACAAACCAGTTTGGTTCTCCTATAAGTCTTGATTACATCTCAGCTTTTTTCTTTCACTTTTTATTTCTTCTCTTGATTGTCAAAGCAGGACTGTGGGGAAATTCTCAGAGCAGGCATTCAAGGCTCATTTTCTTACAGGATAAAGGAGGACAAATGGATGAATATTCAAGTGGGAGATATAATAAAACTAAAAAATAATCAGTCTGTCACGGTGAGTACCTCTTTGGGCTGTGGCTTTTTCTTTTTTTGGCTTGAGTGTGTACAAAGGAACCCTTTTAGCACTTTTGCCGCCACTGCTTTTGGTGACCTCTGTCTGCCTCACTTTGCATCCAGAGATGAACAGCTCCTGTGGTAAGAAGCTTGTTTTTGTCTGTCTCTCACCATAGCTACAGATAAAGTATGACCAGTTTCAGGAGGGGCTGTGTAGCAGCAGTGGGTCCTAGACAAAGAGAGTAAACCAAATATCTGTAAAATTCGTAGGATGAACATCTGTTCCTGAGGTAACTGCGTTTGTTACACTGTAATATTAAAAGTCTGCCTTCCTGCTTTCCTCATCTTCTCTGACTTTTTTGACCACAGGCTGATATGCTATTACTCTCTAGCAGTGAGCCCTGCGGTCTGACATATATAGAAACAGCAGAACTGGATGGGTAAGTGTTCCTTCCTGATAGTCATTTAAGACAATTGAGCCACCTTAATTTCTCACTGAGGGAGGCATGATGCAGAGAATGAATATTGTTCTCAGATGGAAGTGCCCAAGATGCTAGAAATATCCAGGTAAGCGAAAAGAGGAGGCCAGGCCCTTGGGACCTCAAGTCTAAGACTGAGCTCTTAACAACAATAAGCATCCACTGGGTGCAGAATCTGGACAAATAAACTCCATATTCTCCATCTCTAAACTGGAGACACTCTCGTTGTATTCACTAATGCTGAATGATAGGTAAGAGGTTAATAGAACTGTAAAATTTCAGAATAGAGTTCCGAAGTTTGGAGTGGGGAGGATGAGTATGGAGGTAATTATTTACTGATAAAATACCATGTTCTATAAAGGATTTAAGGTAGAAATTCATTAACATGCAAAAGCTAAGGTCTTAGGAGGATAGAGGCCATCTTCAGAGAGCTTGTCCTATGGGGTTTTCTATTGATTACATTCTTACAACTATTCCTCTTGGTGCCCACAAGCTTTTGGAAATGCGGCTTCCATTTTTGCTTCTGTCTCTGTGCATTCCAGTATCAGCAAATGGTTAACTGGGGTTCCTTCATGGGTCCTATAACAATTTATGAAGTGAGGAGTATGTTTAATTGGAAGTGTGTGCAACGTTCTTACCAAGACCTGCTCCTTGTTCTTGAAGGGAGCGGTGCCACCTTCAGGTTGTTTTGTGATGTCTCTTCAGCTTCATCTAGAGCACCTGACCAGCAAGATTTCGCGGATTGGTTAAAGTAGAGATGGTGTGTTGCCGGGAGCCAGGAGAGTGAGCGGGCTAACGCTCGGCTTCCTTGTGGAGCCATCTACCTCAATACTGTCCTTGAGAGAGGACAGCGGAGGTGACTCTTACAGCTCAAAACTGTAGCCCAAGCTCTATTGGCAGTATCTATATTCTAAAATCCCATGACAAAGTGGGAGAAACGGGACTTCTGCTGCTGTTGTGCATGTGTCCTGTGCTCTGGTGACTCTGTACCCTTTGCCTTAGTGAAACCAACCTGAAAGTGAAGCAGGCCATCTCAGTTACCAGTGACCTGGAAGATAACCTCGGGCTACTGTCTGCCTTTGATGGTGAGTTAGGAAGTAGGTTTGCCCACAAACATGTTTATCAGTAGAGGACTGGTTAAATAGGGGGGTGGGAGGATGGGTTGGCCTGGTGATGGGTATTAAGGAGGGCACGTATTGCATGGAGCACTGGGTGTTATGCACAAACAATGAATCATGGAACACTGCATCAAAAACTAATGATGTAATAATGTATGGTGACTAACATAACAATAAAAAATTTAAAAAAAAAACAAGTACATGTATAGGAAACTTGGAAGGATGTACTTCAAAAGATTAATAGCACTTACCTCTAGGCAATTTTACTTTCTCCTTTCTCCTCTTAGTATTGTATATGTATTTACAAAGGACATATTTTACTTTAGTAATCAGGAAAAAAAAACAAATTATTTCCATTTTGAAAAAAATACGAGATTTGCTTTAAGTTAAGTAGTTTTTTAATTTCTTCAGATTCAGAGCTCATATGATCTGGCAGTACTGACGGTGAAAAGTTATCATGTGGGTTTTTCTCTCTCTGGATGACCCATGTCACATACAGAATTACTCTCCTTTAATGTTCAGAAACCTTTGTCTGCCTTTTTTTTTTTTTAAGATTTTATTTATTTATTTATTTATTTGTGAGAGAGAATGAGAGAGAGAGAGAGCATGAGATGGGGGAGGGTCAGAGGGAGAAGTAGGCTCCCTGCCGAGCAGGGAGCCCGATGCGGGACTCGATCCCGGGACTCCAGGATCATGACCTGAGCTGAAAGCAGTCGCTTAACCAACTGAGCCACCCAGGCGCCCCTTTGTCTGCCTTTTTAAAAGGAGCTGGTGAGAAATAGGCAGCCGCTGAGAGAGGATAGGAAAAAGAAGTGTATGTATTTTGAAAGAGGGATGTTCTTTCCTCTTTTCTGTTAAGCCTCCTGTTAGGAAAGGCCTAAGATTACAGAGCCAGGACTCTTACTCCTTCATTTTTCTTCAGGAAAAGTGAGGTGTGAGTCTCCCAATAACAAGTTGGACAAATTCACAGGAATACTGAATTATAAGGGAAAAAACTACATCCTGGACCATGACAAGCTGCTACTCCGAGGCTGCATCATCAGGAATACAGATTGGTGCTATGGCTTGGTGATTTATACCGGTATGTCTCCTGAGAGTCACAGTCAGGCCCCCAATCTGCTAGATTCCATTCATGATCAATTTATGGGTACTCAGTTTCCAGGATGTAGATAGGGGACCCAGATATACATACACCATGGCTTTGAGACAGACAGAAAGGGAAGTAGATAGATGGATAGATGGATGGATGGAAGATTTAAGAAAAACCTTTCTTCTTAGGAAAAAAAAAAAAAAAGACATTTTTCCCAGAGCAAGAAGTCTTTGTGTTCCAAGATCACAGGGCACTTAGGAGTCTTCCCAGTCATATTTGGACACAGGAGAAGGTATACGTATAGAAAGAGTACCCATGGAATTAACATGTGAGAGGGGGAACAGCTGAAAGGGGAGTATATATATATGGGGATTACTCCCAGGAGAGAACACACACAGTGCTCACTATGGAGAAAATTATAAAATGTGAGAGATTCATGCCACAGTAAAGGCACATGGGAATCACTAGCAGTGGCCCCTCTTGAGACATCATTTAGAACCGTAATCCCTTATGCTTAGTGAAGGTTTTTGGGGGGGTTATGATGTGTTTGGGAAGATGGAAGAAGCTTCTGTACCACGCTTTGCCCTTGGTGACAATGGGCACTGATGACAACAACCATAGCAAGAGGATGGGGAACACTGAAGAAAGCATCAAGGAAGATTTACCACGGTGAATACTATTCAGCTCAGAGCTCCCCTTCTCAAGAATTCACCCTAGACATGGGGATCTTAGATGCCTCACTTCTATGGGAAATAATGAGATCCAAACCCTAGAGAGAAGCTTAAGAGTCCAGGGAGGCCTTGGTGGAAACTTTTTCATCAGGTCTTGAACTATAGTGACAGCTTCTAAGCTGACTAATCCCAAACCCAAAAGATTTGACGTACACTTACTTTCTTCACTGTACTTCAGCTACCCCTACACATTGCCTTTCAGAAAAAGCTCATTTTTCAGGAAAGGGTTTCTCTCTAAAGCAATGGCAGTGAGGTTGCCAACCAGCACAAATTTAGCTAAGGTTGCTCTCTGACTCTTGGTTTACATGGTAGTGAAATCTTTTGGGGCTTTGGGAAACTTAGAGCAGAAGAGAACGGATACCCTTAAGAGCATCTTGAAGTATTCCGTGCAGAATTTAGTTGCTATTGCTGCTACATGGTGCCCAGGTTCTACCATGATCTCCACATCCTTCTTGAAATGTAAGTTAGAGTCATTCTTTCTAAGGACCCTTTGAAGATTCTGTCCCTTGTAGCTTCCAGGCTCTGAGACAAACTTCTCATGACTTCAGGCCCTTCGTGAAATGCCTTAGAAGGAAAGAATAGTATAGTTTATGCCCTGTATTCTCAGTGTATGCCCACATTATCAGGGAAGTTCCAGCTCCCTCACGTGTAAACATTAATGAAATTCCTTCATTAGAGTGCATGTAAGAAGAACAATCAGGTGGTAAAAACCAGAGAAATTGCTACTTACACTTTCTTCTAAACCTCTTACATTTTCTCTGCAACCATATTTCTGGTCAGTAATACCCAACTCTAGTCCCATTGGCCACTAAAAACTCTTTACTTCTACTTACCATCTGCCCTGTTGTGAAGAAATACAGTCTGTCTCTCAGCCCCAGAAAAGCCCAGCTTCCACCTCAGAAGAAATCACTGCTATTGCCTTTTCCCACTTAGAAACTTGAAATAGAACCTGGCCCAGCAGAGGGTTTCCTCAAAAGAAGGTGGAGATCTCTTTATCAAAAAATCTCTTTTCTAAGCTAAATAAATCAGATGATGATGAGAAAGAAGCTTATGGCTCCTAGTGTTGAATTACTATATTGTACACCTGAAATTAAAATAACGCTGCTTGTTAACTTACTGGGATTAAAATTAAAACTTAAAAAAAAAAAAAAAGAAAGCTTGTGGCTCCTATTCTGACTTATCTGTGGAAGATTAGACTGTCTAAGGTGCTGCAAAAAGAGAGGTCAGCATCAATGTACTTTGCAGAAATACTTGGGATTATCCTTAGAAATAAGATGTGTATTTTTTTTAGTTATTGGCACCAACTACGAGCCTTTCTCCAGGGCTTTATCCCCTGGCACTGGTGAGAGGTTTGATTAGGTGATCATAAAGGTGTATTTCAATCCATTTTCAATCCTCTGAGTATATTCAATGATTCTAAGAGCTGGTCTCCCTGTTTCACTTAGGGCCAGACACCAAATTAATGCAGAACTGTGGAAAGTCTACCTTTAAGCGGACGCACATGGACCATCTCTTGAATGTCCTTGTGCTCTGGGTAAGACATTTTTTTCTTCTTTACAAATAGACATGCTTTTTTCCCTTCCATGGCTGTAGCTGGCATTTCCGACCTGGAATTTAGTTGTTTGAAAAACTCATGGCACGCTGTTTACTAATGCCAGAAGCAGAAAAGAACAGAGCTGATTGACAAGGGAGTCTCTCTCTAGTTTACACCTCTGTTGTAGAGGACAGCCACAATTTAAGATTTCATGCTCTGATTAGTGATACTGGGATGGATCAAGGACCCAGCTTTAGAAACTGACACATTTTTATTTCCTCATAGCCTGTTTTACTCATGAGCACTTTAGTAAAACATTACTTAGACTAATAGAACACCTTACTTACACTGGATGATTTTCAAACTGTTTCCTTAGAGGAGTCTAAGGTTGGCCACAGGGGGAATAGAAAAGATCAAGTGAGTTTTATTCTGGTCCCATCATTCTGATGTTCTTACTTCAAGAAGAGCATCTTGACATTTGTCTGTTCTGTAAGATTTCAGTTGGAAAACAGAGATTCTGCTGCTAAGAAATGAAATTTGAAAAGCACTCAATAGATGGTAATAGCTTTGATAATAGAAGTTTAAACTGAAGATTTATTTCCATGCTATCCTATACAGAATCTTCTTCTTGTTAGATATAGACTTGTTTGCACAACTAAGCAATTTCAGTGGTGCCTATACTTAATTCAATGACTTCATTTTTATTTTTACTCTATTGCTTAGACTCTGAAAATTTTAAAGTGCCTTTTCTTTCTGTATATCTCTCATTAATATCTGAATTATAAACTGCCTCATCTCCCTTATTAATTATGAGAAATATCACTGTTCTTTTTTTTAAAGATTTTATTTATTCATTTGAGAGAGAGAGAGGCAGAGAGAGCACAAGCAGGGAGAGAGGCAGAGGGAGAGGGAGAAGGAGACTCCTCGCTGAGCTGGGAGCCCAATGTGGGGTTCAATTCCAGGACCTGGAGATCATGACTTGAGCCAAAGGCAGATGCTCAACCATCTGAGCCACCCAGGTGCCCTGGAAATATCACTGTTTTTTTCCTAAATCCTCTGGATTTAGGAAATGGGGTTTTAGAAAATTAGGAAAGTTCATTCAGCTTTGAGACTAGAAGCTGGTATCCACTCTTTCTACTACTGTCTGCGTAGCTTTCAGCAACTGAAACAAAGTAACATTTCCTGGTTTCTTAATGAGGAAGACAATCACATTTGAGAATTCAGGGAGGTGACATAGGTAAATATGCCTCTGACAGTACTGGGAACATATATCATTAGGCACTAAGTTAGGTCATTTAGCCTAGGCTTATTTTCAAAACAGAATGTCTCCCATGTGCCCAGGAAGTTTCACCTACTTAGTGAAGGTCAGTGACAACACTTGACATCTGTTAGAGTGATTTTAACTTTTTAGAATATTCATCATTCACTTACTGGAGCCTCACTACATCCATGACAATAAACAAGTCATGAAATATTTCCTCATTTGACAAATATGCAAATTGAGACACAATAAAGATAAATATCATAAGTAAAATCCTACAAAAAAATAATGGCAAAGACATTATAATAATTCCTACAAAAAATTGTAGGACAATATAAAATAAATAATAAACAATAAATCCTACAAAAAATAATGGCAATGACTCATCAATTCATATTTATTGAGAATCTATTATGTGCCCAGATGTGCCTGATGTTGTGAGAATCATCAAGATGTATATGATCTGGGTGCAGCCCCCAAGTGTATAAAGGGGGCAGGGCAGCAATATGTGTCACATGCTTTACATATATCATTTTATTTAATTATCACATCTATCCATCTAGGCATAACTTTTCAGAATCAATGCTCTTTCTGCCATACTTGCTGTCTCCTGGGGGGACAAAATTAAAACACATGACAAGTCCTGTTTAAAAGGCAGATTGGCCAACATATGAAGAAATTAAAAAACTAAAAAGAAAATCCTACAAGCTTCCAGAGAAGAATAGAAGGTCATATACCAGGATCAAAAATTAGAATAGCATTAGACTTCTCAACAGCAACAGCAGAAGGTAAACCTCAATGCCTTCAAAAGTGTGTGAAAAAAAAAAAAGTGTGTGAGAAAATTATTTGTAGCCTATAATTCTAAATCTAGTGAAACTATCAATAAAATTCAAGTATAAAGAAATATCCATATGCGTAAAGACTCAAAAAAATTTATTCATCATGTCTCCCCTCTTAGGAAGCTCCTAGTGTGTATACTTAGACAAAACAAGAAAGTAAACTAAGAAAGAAGATTACAGAAGCCAGGAAACAAGGGGACAAGTGAAAGGAGGTCCTAGAAAGATCGCTGAATAGCAGGCCTAGAGAACTCCAGTGCAGATTAGAGCAGGAACATAGAGGTACCTGCAGCGGGGTCTCCAGAGAGAGAATGTAGTTCTCTGCTCAGGTTCTCACAAGACAGAGGCAACAGAGAGTCAGTGCAAATGCTAGGGGCAGCTAAGCTGGCAGAGTAGTTGCTATAAATTCCTGTATTTCTATGGTTATTCATTCAGTCTTTGTATGAAATATTATCTGGGGTACTGTGTTCACTTTTGGGCATCCAGTTTAAGAAGAACACTGAGAAACTTAATGAAATGACTATAAAGAAGTACAAACAGGACGCCTGGGTGGCTCAGTCATTGAGCGTTAAGATCCCAGGGTTCTGGGATAGAGTCCTGCATGGGGCTCCCTGCTCAGCGGGAAGCCGGCTTCTCCCTCTCCTACTCCCCCTGCTTGTGTTCCCTTTCTCACTGTGTCTCTCTCTCTGTCAAATAAATAAATAAAATCTTAAAAAAAAAAAAAAAAAGAAGTACAAACAGGAAATAAATACCTAACAGCCCTGACAGAGGATGAACCAGCAGCAGACCCAAGATGTTGATGAGTTTTTGGAAGGCAGAAAATAGATAGATTATATTGATAGATAAACTAGAGTAGTGAAAGCTTCAGTGCAAATGCATTCTTCTTGGTAGAGCTCAGTAATAGCTCCAAGCTAGCATCAGCAGGTATGGAGAGCAGAAATGGTAGGTGGGAAAACAATTAGGATAATTAATTTTAAAACTGTCCATGAAACAACATGGGCAACAATTTTTTGGCCCTCTGTACCACCCTGCCACCCCTATAGCATGCATATAACAATAGCAAATGTATTTGCTTTCCAGTCTCAAACAAGAGAGCTGCTTTCTAAAGAAATTTAACCACCTTTTTCAGAGGGCTAGGGCTTCTAATGTTGGTGTCATCACTTCAGTGTAAAACCCATTTTATTTTAGTTTATTATTTTTTTTTAAAGATTTTATTTATTTGAGAGAGAGAATGAGATAGAGAGCGTGAGACGGGGGAGGGTCAGAGGGAGAAGCAGACTCCCCGCTGAGCAGGGAGCCTGATGCGGGACTCAATCCTGGGACTTCAGGATCATGACCTGAGCCGAAGGCAGCCGCTTAACCAATTGAGCCACCCAGGCGCCCAAACCCATTTTATTTTAAATTTAAGGGGCAGGGCACCTGGGTGGCTCAGTTGGTTGAGTGTTGGACTGGTGATTTTGGCTCAGGTCATGATCTCATGGGTCCTGGGATCAAGCCCTGCATCAGGCTCCTCCAGCCCCGCATCAGGCTCCGCGCTTAGCGGGGAGTCTGCTTGGGATTCTCTCTCTCTCCCCTTGATCCTCCCCAAAGCATTCACGGGCACTCTCTCTTCCTCTCTCAAATAAATAACATAACATAACTTAGTTAGTTAGTTAGTTATGGGGCTCAAATGTGCTTGCATGCTCCTTGTGCACCTGAAGGTGAGATCTGTCAAATAACACATACTGCCTACCCACACAGAATGCATGCTTCCATGTTCCCATTCAGGAGAGCAGCCTATTGGGGAAACAAAATTAACGAAAGGAAACCAAACCAACGTATAATGATTAAACTACTCTTTTACTCATATTTTTAAGTGGACTAGAGGGAAACCAGGAACACAAAAGAGGAGGATGAGGATGAATAAATAGAATAACTGGACCCTGGAAAAAACATAATTCAGGGAAGAGAAAAGAACTTCCAAAAATTCTTATTACTATTCTTAGAAGACACAATTGCATAAATAAAGTAAGAATAGGGTTGCTAAAAATGGAAAAAGAAAAAAGCAATCTAAGAGCAACAGAAAAGAATTTCGGGAAGTAAAGATAGCTGAAATTTAAAAAGCCAATAAAGGTGCACCTGGGTGGCTCAGTTGTTAAGCGTCTGCCTTCGGCTCAGGTCATGATCCCAGGGTCCTGGGATTGAGCCCCGCAATGGGCTCCCTGCTCGGCAGGGGGCCTGCTTCTCCCTTTCCACTCCCCTTGCTTGTGTTCCCTCTCTTGCTATCTCTCTCTCTCTGTCAAATAAATAAAATATTTTTAAAAATAAAATAAAAAGCCAATAAAAGGGCTGAAATAAAGACTTAAAGAACTCTCTAATAAAAAGATAAAGAGATAAAATATATGAGATAAATACTTCTTTTTAATAGAGAACCAAACCAGGAGCCCCCAAATTCAACTACTAGGAGTATCAGGAAGAGAAAATGGAGGGGACGACATTGTCAAAGAAATAATAGAAGAATATTTCCTAGAATTCAAGAAGGATATGAGTTTCAGATCTAAATCATCCAATAAGCATCATGAATTTTAGAGCTTCAAGGGTATAGAGAAGTCCCTCAAAATTTTCACAGGGATAAGAATAAGATATGAACAGAAAAAATTGAGAATTAGGTTGGCACCAGATTTCTTACCCACACAACTGGGTCCTAGAAATTAGTAGGGTCATCCCTTCAAAGTTCTTAGTGAAAGTTATTTTGACCTAGAAATCTATACCCAGGAAAACTACAAATCAAGTGAAAAAGCGAACTTGTTCCTATCTTAAGACCTTTACCCTTGCTGTCAAGGCGTGCCCCAGGTCTTTGCATGGCTTGCTTCTTGTTCATCATTCAGTGCCACCTTTTCAAAGCAGCCTCTTTTCTGTCTAAA